TGGTATTTATGGGAATGTCCTCATTTAATCTCTCTAGAACTTAGGAATCTATTATCTTCTCCACTTCCTTCTTGTTTTTCATGAAAAGACTTTGCGCATTGTGACTCTAAAAGAGGAGGAAAGATTTGTCAGCTCATCTCTCTTGGCAGGGTTTGCAGACTTTAAGCAGACTTTCCCGGTGCCATCTAGAAAAGGGAGAAACTTATCGCTACTATTTTGGTATGTGCAATGCACAAATGTGATTTCGTACTTCTTACGGATGCCAAAGTTTATGAAGAAGAAAATAAGCTAGCTCTATTTCTCAGCAAGGGGATCAAATGAGTTATATGATTTTCACATAGGTCATAAGCTAGAACAGAAATCTTGTGAATTAAGCTTTGCTACAATGCAGAATCTGTGGACACTCTCCAGTGGGTAGGAAACAAAAAGCAGATGAATGTTTTGTCAGGACATGAGGATGTGTGGTTATTCAGACTGACAGTGCTGTTCTGACTGATACAGCTATCTGTACTCAAACAAAGGCTTTTGGGACTTCTCCAGGTAGGATGGCCACTGAGAAACAATGGCTTCTACTCCTGAACACATTTTGTATTATCAACCCTGAGTAATTAGCCTGCGTTAACAAAATCCTAAAACATATCCATTGTTAACTACAACATTCAAGCTAGTGAAAACTTTCTGTACAATTTCAAGTTTGCTGTTTTTTAAAATATTCTGAATCTATAAGGCTTCAGATACTATTACTTTATGCTTAATGGAGAGAGATGATATTCTCACTCCACCCATGTTTGTGCATGCCTATGTGTGTAGGGGTGTGTGTGCGTGAGTGCAGGCACATGTACAAAAACACAAGAATTTCAAACTGTGTATCTGTAGTCCTATAAAAGTATCTTTGTGTATTGGTCAAACACAGCTCTTCTGCCTCCATAAAATAAGCATTAGGTTAGTAATAAAAATGTATGTCATAAAACAGAACATTTAGATGAAAAGAATCTCTTTTGCATTTATTAAGAATTTATACCTTGTGGGCTTAAAACGTCTTTGTCATTTGTTGCTATTACATGCTGAATTGATGTGAGCCCATTTCTTTAAATAGGATGACTAATGAGAACAAAATGGTGAGTCTGAGCACAGGTACAGCCATTATGATGGCTTGCATAAAGAAAATGCATTAGGCTCACAATCAGCCTTATCACATGTAATACTGGGTGATGATGCCTGAAAGACCTTTTACGAATTCTAGGTGTGCTGCGGGCTGCCATTGCCACCGTAAGTGATACAACCATCAGTTGGAGAGTGCTTTGGAACTGTAAAGGCAAAAGAAACCTTTTCTTTAGTGGAACATTCCTTTTTAACCTGCTTTTCTGTTGAACCCGATAAGGCCATGGATGTGCTTGTTTGAGAGTTCCTTTCAAGTTGTACAATGCAAGACCGAATAAACAAACTTGTTCATAAAATGTGGTATCTTGCTGAAAATAAACAAACTTGTTCATAAAATGTGGTATCTTGCTGAAAATCATCACATGTGTTTCCAATCACCACGTAATATTCATGTATTTAGTTACCCGTCAACCATAAACCCCTTTATCAGCAGACAATTGGCAGCATAAACCAAAGATGTACAAAAATTGATGCTTTCCATTAATTTGATGTTTGCTTAACATTGAGTTTGGTGGGGATTTTAGAGGTTTTTGAGGTTTTTTTAGAGGTTTCGAGCCAATGCCCACAGGGATATAATCTCCACGCCCTGACACTCTGCACATGGGCTGCCAGGGTCTCCACTCTTTCCTCTGTTGAGGGAACACCAGCCACTAACTAGTGAGTCAGTGTGGGGAGTATACACTGTCCACCAACGCTTTGTGCCACGAGGCAGCCTGAGGAGGAGGAACTCAGCTGGGAAAGTTGGTCTGTTATCAGGCAAGACTGTCATCTTTATCAATATGCCGTTACTTTAAACTACATATTCCGATGTTTACTAGTGGGAGACCATAGGCATTAACTTTACCTATGTGAATATTCTTTCAACATGTTGAGAGAGACAGTTGGTGCAGTGGTTAGGAGCACATGTTCTAAATCAGCACTCAGCTATACCTCTGACCTTGCTTTGTAAATAAACCCTGGCAAGTTGTTGAACGTTCATGAGTTTCTGTTTCTTCTTTGAAACAGAGACAATAATGGCTTCTTAATGAGAACTTTAAAAACTGAATGAGATGGTGTGCGTGAAGCATTTAGCTTTCCTTATTCTGAGTATCTATTAAGTGCTTGCAAATGGTTGCCATTATTGTTGTACAAACTGTAAATAGCACCCAGTTAGTTACTGTCTCCATTCAGGTCTATTAAGATAGGTCAATTTCAGGAATGCTCTGGAACCCAAACCAACTCAGGAAATTGGCAAAGAGATGGCTTAAATTATTGTCTGAAGTAACAGAGAAAGGCTTGAAATATGTGCTTTGGGCTGGCCTGTGATGGAAGATTCACTCATGTTTCACTTTTCTATTTTAATTACTAAAGTCTTGGGAAACTATGTTGTAAAACAAAGTGTCATTATTCTAGAGCATCTTACTGACGTGTTAATTCATGCTATTTATTCATCCTCCAAAGGAGATATAAAGCTCGATCTCACTGGCTTCAAAATGAGTCATTCCAAAGAAGCCTGGTAGTGCATCTTGTCAACCCCTTAAATAATTGGTGTACTAATGTCTTACCCCATTTTCTAGAGGCTCTTTAGTGGTTCATCATGCATTGAAGTTTCAGGGAGATAATTCACAATCCAATTTTGTGGCTCTCCCTTTGAAATCTGTTACCCCCAAGATATAATGTCATTAATGCTCACTCAAACTCCATGCATAGGCTTCAAGCAATTGTTTTATAGCTTGCCCTGCTAAGGAATTCGTAGAGGGTATGTGAATAGGTCAAAGGGAATGTAAGGATTTCGGGACTATTTCCATTCATAGAAAAAAAGTAACAATTGTGAGAAGTTTGTTCCTAGAGACACACTTCATTGTCAGTTTTTTTTTTTTGGGGGGGGCGGCGGGGGTTAGTAGGCTCTACACCCAATCCGGGGCCTGAACTCCAGACCCTGAGATCAAGAGTCAGATGCTCTACCAACTGAGCCAGCTAGGTGTCCCTATGAGAGACACATTTCAAAAGCGTACTCCTAATGTTTTGGATTAAGGGATATGTACCCCTGTTAAAGCTACTTCCAAGTGCACACACAGACTCTTTAAAGGCATATTCTTAATTCTCTGGTTTGCATCCTCTTTCATAAAAGTATTTTCCTTGAAGCCATATAGTCACCATCCATACGTCATCAGCTTGTAGCTGACCTCAGGTGTGCTCCATCCTGGAGGTAGAACCCAGAAATGAACTGATTTCTCCTAGAACACATAAGGGGTCCAGATGTGAATGAAAGTGTTTTAAACCACAGTGGATTAGCAATGCGACAAGTGGCCTGACATGATTTGGTTTAAAGTCAGGTATCCCGTCTTCTATTTATTTTCCCTTTTCATCATGGAATCCTCTGCTGCCCACATTTTCCTTGAGAAAACTCTTGGTTATATTTCAGCAATATTATCTAAATCATGGTCTCAAAATCCCTTGTGAAAGAGGAAGGATGAAAATAAATGAATCAATTAATTACTTTAAATAAACAGGATATCTTTTTTTTTTTTCTCCTATGGGTCATGGATGAAGGAGTTACCCTTCATTTTTCTGAGACTTATGCAAGTCACATACATCTTTCTTATAAGTGACACTGCTTTCAAAATGTAGGACACCTAAGAGAAATTTGCAAATATACTGTTCTCTACAACAAACAATCTGACAATGTCCCTTCCCCCAAGTTTCAAGGCCCTGGCTATCCCTCAATATAGATAAGCCTCACAGTCATCAAATACAGAGTCTACTATCTGCACTTGGAAGTGCTAAACCTCCATATTTGGCTGAAAAGACAGCCAGTGAAGGATATTTTTAATTCAGCAACAGTCTTATAATTCTCTATGCAATCCAGGCTTTAATTACAGAACATACAATTATACCTAAAACCATCTTATCTCCCTAAACCTACCCAATACATCTCTTTTTTACCTATGATTTAATAAACCTCTTGTTTAAAAAATGTCTTCCTAATGCAATGGACCGTAGTGCATGGAATCACTGTACCCGTCAATCTTTACAACCCTCCCATAAATTGTTCCTTTCTTAAATACTGCATTTTGGTAAGTTAGAGGTTCCTTATCACTACATTTGTATGTCAATTGCTTATCTGTAATGCTGCTCAGCACAGAAAAAAAAAGTGCACATGTACAAACCATGCAAAACCAGATGATGTCACATATTTTTAAAATACTACACATACGTATACATACATATGTGTATACATGATATGTATACACATATATGTATAATTTTTGTTAACCATGGAAAAGGGCCAATAGGTTGATGCCTAGGGATGCAGACCCAATTTTAGAAGCAGATGTGAGCACCACAGAAATCATAACAGGGGAACGTTTTTTTCTTGAAGCAATCAGTAATTCTAATGCTCTATAAACATCCCCAGATCTCATACATTCTGAGCATGGCTGTGTGCATTGGAATTGTTACCAACAGCTCACAGAGTTCTAGTCTAGATACGTACTTGCAAACGGAAGACACACATCCCAAAATATCGGCATCATGGCCCCTGCGGGCCGCGGACGCTGTGCACAGGCGCTACAGGAGGGCCAGGGAACTAGCCCCGCGTTCACTCACACAGGTATCTCTTCCCTGCAGGCCCCCTAGCAGCGACACCACTCGTGATAATCACCCCTGGCTGGCAGACGCTCACGGGGGCACTCGGGGGAGCTCCGGAGAAACCTAGGGCAGGGGGGAGGGTCGGGCATTTTAGGGCAGCGACGCGCACCCGGGCACAGTCTCCGCGCCTCCGACACCGTCCAGGACCCCAATTCCCTCCGGAGCTGCCGGCGAGATCTGCATTATGCCAAGGCGCTGCACCAACTCACCTCCACGAAATAGAAGCAGGGCAAGAGGGTCACGCTGTCCTTGATCACTTTGCCCTTTGGCCTCTCCTTCGCCGACATCCCGGCCTGCGCGAGTCCGCGTCCTCCCCCTGGCGAGGTGTGCCCGGCGCAGCCGAGGCGAGCCGCCTGCTCCAGCCGCAAGCGCCCGGCGCCGCTGATGTCACATTCCCCGCGGGCACCGCTGGAGCCAGCGCGTGGCATGCAGCGCCCCCGCCTCTCCCCGCCCCTCTTTGCCGCAAGAGGCTCCCTGAACCGGCAGGTCTCCCTCCTCCCCTACTCTGGCCCTCGCTCCGGGGTTTTCTCCACCTAGAGACGTCCAGCTCCCTCCCACGAGCTGTTGCTGCAATGGCTTCCCCTCCCTGCCAGCCTCCCTCTGCTCTCCACCGCCCTTGCGAGGCTTGGCGCTGTCGGAGGAGCTTGACGTCAAGAATCGGAAAAGGGGGGACGCACCCCTGGATATTGCAGCAGAGAGGCTGAGGAGCTCAGACACCCCACCCCACCCTCCCCAACCCCGGAAAGCCTCCCGGGCCACTCGAGGAACGCTTACTTAAGGACTGCTGGAGAGCAGAAGCCCAGGTCCTGCGCACTGACCCTCGCTAGGCATCAACACGGACCTCTACCTGCGGGGAGCTAAAACTTGGATCCCATACTGAAAAGTAGGCCCTGGTGGGAACTTATTGAGAGTTGGCTGCTATCAAGGAATGACGGCCCCTTCTGAGGATTCTCTGCTTAGGAGATTCCCCGGTTCCCTGCAACAGCGACCCTTCCTGCTGATGAACACCATTACCTGTCTGGGAATGGTGAGGGTTCCCTGCGTCGATGGGGCAGATGCGCGGGCATCCTCCTTGACTCCAGAGGCCAGGGCATGTTCTGACCTCAGCATCACACCTCTCGAACCAAGCCAGCATCACAGAGGCACCTCTTCAGACATTAACAACATAAGACAAGTCCTTCACCTCGTTGGCAGTGGGCTTGGCAGGTCTCAGCTTTGTGGTTATTCTGGCAACCTGGAAGGAAAACACTCAGCAAGCAGAAAACACTTTTTTATGTAATAAAAAAGATAGCTCACTCCTATGATGACGAGCCACTGGCCATTTCCAGTATCTTCAAAGTCTCTACTTGACGCATCTGACCGCCAATGCCGAAGTTCTCAGTCCAATCCCCATTCTCTCATGACCTCATCTGAACAATTGTCTGTCAAATGCTCCCACCTCCAAATCCCCTCGCACTGGAAGGTAGGGTTTCAGCACAGGAATTTCGAGGGCACGCAGATATTCAGTTGATAGCACACTCCAGTAGATCTTTGACAGTGTGGAGACAGTCTGATTTTCTTTTTCTTTCTTTCATTTTCTTCTGTCGGGCTTGGGTTCCAGAGCCCAGCTGTTCCAAACTCCATTTCCACCTCCCTATGCACCACACTTCACTGGCAGAACCCCAGCCCCAACTAAACCCAATTATCTGCTCCCACCAGCACAACTGAAGGTGGGTAGGGAAAAACACACAGCCATGTGGTCTTGTTTCAAGTTAGACTAATGGCAGCAAACTTCAAACCGCTCCTAATCCCCCACAATCCTAGTATTTTTCCATAGTCTGTTCACTTTCTTATCTCCGGGGACCAACTCACACCTTCTCTTTCTTCAAATCTTGTCGTTCTCAGCTAATGACTTAACTCATTTCGCTCGGAAAGTGGCCTGATCAGAAGAGAGCTATGTTACCTTCCAAAGCCGACAGCTCGCCCCCATCCCTCACCCTCCACAACTACAGCCATTTCTTTCCTGAACTGGCACAAGAGCCTCCTAGCTGATCTACCAGCTTCTACTCTTGGTAGCCCTGTGTCCTACAGATCATTTCCTCTACAGGAGCCGGGAAGATCTTTTGAAAAGTAGATCCACTTGTGTCATTCCTCTGCCCAAAGCCTCCAAGAACTCCCCATCACACTCAGGAGAAAACCTAAATTCCTCACATCTTCCTTAAAGCCTTATCGGAGGGCCCTGCCTGATTCATGGACTCGCTAATGTTGCCCTATGCCTTAATGGTCCGATAGTCCTAGACTAGCTATGTACTCCCTCAGGAACTTTGCACTTCCTGTTTCTTCCTCCAGGAATGCCCTTCTGTCAACACTGTGTGGCTTAACCTCTTACTTATTTCATACCTTTGCCCAAATTCAAACTCCTCAGGACCACTCACTCCACCTAAATAGCATTGATCACCTCAGGCCTCCATTACTCTTCATCCTTACTCATTATTTTGTTTTTCTTCATAGAACTTACTACTATCTGATAGTTTAGCAAGTATTTATAAAAAAGTCAATTTTTTATTGACTTTTATTGACTTTATCTCCCACTAGAATGTGAGCTCTAAAAGGTTAGTATGTCTTGTCTGGTAACTGGGATTGTGCCTGACAAATAAGTGTTCAGTAAATATTTGTTGAAGGAATGCATAAACCAACTAAATCAAATGATGGAGGTACGTGGGGGTATGGGCAAAAATAAATAAATGATGATTATAAAACCATCTAACATGGTTTCATTCACATACTAAATGCTTAATAACTGTTAGTTGATTCTGTTTATTGGTCATCATGCTATTAACCAGTAACTATACTTCTCGTTACTACCAAAATTCTTTTGTGTGTGTTTCCTTTTTTCAACTTTCTTAATACCTCAACAAAATTTGCAATTCTTGGTGGCTGTAAAAAACTAAGAAGATATTTGAATTTATCATCCTGGAAACTCAGCTTTCCTAAATAAAGAGGAGGTAAAACGGAAGGCTCACCACTGTAGCCCCCTAATTTCCCTAGCCAAGTGTGGAGAATAGGCTTAAGCATTCCCTGAGGTCGCACCAATGGGTGAACAAGGCATAAAGAATGAGAAAGCCATAGGATGTACACACCCAAGTTTGGGTAAACAAGCTTAGGAAAATAAGATTAGGTTACATAAACAAGGCAGAGGCCCCCAGCATAGGATAAAGGTATAAGAATAAGGAATCTCAGGATGAAAACATCCAAGATTAGGTTAGGTAAATGGAGCAAAGGCCCCCAGTATAGGACAAAGGTATAGGAATAGGAAACCTCAGGATGTAAACATCCAAGATGAGGTAATCAATTTAGGTATTCAGGGCGGAAGTGCCCCCCAACTTAGTACAATAGCAGAAAGCTGCTTTCACAGGAAGGAAGGACCAAAATAGGTAAACAGGGCTCTAGACTGCAGGAGGGTGGAAGTTGCCCAGAGCGGAGCTAATTAGGTGCCTTGTTGACCCTGGTGTAGCAAGTAGTCTTTCTTGTCCCCTAGGCCAGTTTGGTAAACATAGGTGGGGCCTCCTGTCTTCTGTAAACCACCTTCCACCAGAGCCAGGATTTTGTTTTGTATTGACCCAAACCCCTAACACCGCATATCTTCAAAACCCCCGTTCCCTCAGGCCCATGAGTTAATGTTCAAGATTGCATTGTCTCTTTGTGTGGGTCCATCATGCTTGTAAGCCTTCCAGTGCTAATAAAAATAGAGCAAGGAGCCTTGTTCAGGGCTCTTGTCTCCTCCTGGACATTAGCCCCTCTCACTTTTTTTTTTTTTTTTTTTTTTCTCACATTTTTAATCTTGTGTTCCACTCTCTTGCTGGACAAGAGAGAACTCTAGACCCAGAGTCCACAACAGCCAAGAGCTGAAAACGTGTGATAAAATATCAGAGACGCATGGGGACCACACCTCAGTAATTCAATAAATTATTGAAACATTAGATAGGTGCTTTCCTTTTCTCTCTAGGTGGTCAGACCAGCCTGATCTGACTACATGGTATAGGATCAGGAAATGCTTCAGAATTCAAAGCCCATTCCTCTTATAACTCTTGTATCCTTCTCTTGACCAGATTCTCTTTTCTTCTATCCCACTTTAAAAAAAAATATTTTCTTTCCTCTCTTTTATAGAATAATCTTGTAGAGAGGATTCAGAGATGGAAAACATTAGGTAAATAGATCGAACCAGAAGAGAATGAGATTTGGAGTCAGAGACCTGAGCTCAAGTTCAGAATTTATATTTGAAATCTGCTCTCAAGTAAGTCACTCCAAGTTTCAGTTTCCTAAGACATAAAATGAGAGATGTGTTGGTGCCATCTGACAGCAGCACTTGGGAGCTCAAATGTGACAGTACATGTGAAAGCACTTGGGATGTTATCAAATTGGTCCATTCATTCATCTATCCATCCATTCAACCTGCAAATATCGATTGACTACCCACCCCCACCCCCCTGACTTTGTGAGAGGCGCATTTCCTACTGGATACCCACTGAATAAAATCATAGAATATGGTTCCTGCCTTCACAGAAACTGGAGTCTAATGCAAGTGGAAGGGGAGAAGACACAGGATAATAAATTTGTCATAACAATAGAAAGCACTTACATGATGCTCACTATAGACACATCACTGTTCAAAATGCTTTGCACCTTTTACCTCATTTAAGGCTTATAACATCTTTAAGAACTGGATACCATTGACTCACATTTTTCGGTTACAGGACCTGAGACTCAGAGAGGTTAGCTATTATATTCAAGAGCAATGACTGAAATTAGCAGAGTTTTTCAACCCAGTAGATCACCCCAAATTCTGTGATCTTAAGTGCTGCACACACTGCTTCTGGTAACAGGCATATAATTACCTCTTGTGGTATACACAACTAAAGAAACAATTAGGATACGCTTGTAATTGCTGTGGAGAGACCTCCTAAGTGTCGTGGCTGAGGGAAGAAGGCTTTGGGAGGAGTGGACCTTAGAGCCACTCCCAGCATGGAGGTGACTAGAAGACACTCCTGAACTAAAAAATGCTCCATCCCTCATTCACCGTGTACAGTTGGGCCAAGGGCAGAGCTTGTATGTTGAATGTTGCCAGTTGCAAATTCTCATGATAATGGTGGCATTAAAAACAATTTAATGTGCCTCACAGAACCTGGATATTTTTCATTGGAAATCTTATTTCAGTGCATTCAAATGAAAAAAGGCACCCACTAAAACTGCAGCACTCTGACATTTCACAAGACAGAGTACTTCACAGCACAAATAACCTGGAAAATATATGCCTGAAAAATGCATTTGACATGATCATTAAAACTGTCAGACTCCTAAGATAAGAAAGAAGTGGTTTTCCCATGTGTTGG